ATGCCAGGCTCGCACAATATGGAAGGCAAATGAAAAGACTATAGTCTAAAAGCTAATATTTATAGCAATACAAAGCGACTGGCCTCTGTAAAAGTCGAAAATTCGAATATGATGCAATACACTATCAATAGGTCGTGAAATACGTTTTTTGTATTAATTCCATTTAAAACAATTTTCCAATTCGACACCAGAGGAAATTAGCTGTATCGAAGATAATGCAACAACTCATCCTTCACTGTTCACTCCATTTTTTGTAGATAGACATCGTCTTCAAGACAGCGATAGCAACAGGTAAAAGTAGTTTCGTTCTTATTTCCAGCATTCATTGTAAGTGCATGCATTTAACTGAATTGTTTATAGAGAGAAAGCATACTTGTTGAAAATCACGTCTCGTGAAGAATCCCGTTTATCTTAAGCCTAGTCGTAAATGTCATGAACAGGTCATTTTCACCGATTAGAATTAGTCCGGATGTGGAAACCAGGCATTAGTAGCAGTGGCGTAGAGGAAGCACTATATAACTGAGGGGGGGGGGGTCATATAATATATGAATAAGTCCCCCCCCTCAATAGATTACTTCTTATTTAGAACATGTATTCCTGCTGAAGCTGAGCCGATACTGAACTCAAGTTCGTGTTACCCTTTGGTCAATTTCACCCGGCCTTTTTGTGAAAATCATGGTATTATGTTACCAAAGTACGTTTATAGAACTCCGGATTATCAAATTGATAAAAACGAGGAAATGAATAGAGCTGAAAAAAGAGCTAAAAGGCTGGGCGAGTCAAAGATTCGAAGTTGGTTCAATATCAATATCAGTAAAATGCAACAATGTTTTCGCATTCTTAGTATATCTCTCTGTCATTTCATTTATCCGATTTGCGACCAAACGCAAAGCGTCTATCAAGAGCAAAAATTTGCCGCGAAACGTATTTTAACATTAAACGCATATGCCATGACATTGTGGAATTATTTATAAAATATGATAAAATCGCTATCCCGAGAGAAGAAATTGACCCGGGGGGAGCTGCAACCATACAGGAATGCTGGTGACTCGCCAGAATGCTGGTACGAAGATTTTGAAGACTTGACAGGTAATTTGATTACAACAAGATTTAAGAGTGCACAAGTTTAAATTAAAGTGATTTGTTCATTGACGTGAATTGAAAAACAAAACACTTTCACATATGCGACGTTACAACCGCCAGAAAGGTCAAGGAAAACTCATTTTTCACTTTTTACCGCTCAGTCTGTTCATAATTTCGTTTAATTCAAACGAAATACTTTACAGAAAAATTTCCGTTGGTTCAAAGCTGAAATAATCCTAGGCCGGTTGATCGAAGCCACAGAATTTTTTCTAACGGCGCCGGCCACTGATCCTATTTCGTAAAAGTTGAGTTTAGTGAAAGTTGAGTTTAGTGAAAGTTGAGTTTAGTGAAAGTTGAGTTTAGTGAATGTTGAGTTTAGTGAAAGTTGAGTTTAGTGAAAGTTGAGTTTAGTGAAGGTTGAGTTTAGTAAAAGTTGCAGGTTGAGTCTAGTGAAAGTTGAGTTTAGTGAAAGTTGAGTTAGTTGAGTGAAAGTTGAGTTTAGTGAAAGTTGAGTTTAGTGAAAGTTGAGTTTAGTGAAAGTTGAGTTTAGTGAATGTTGAGTTTAGTAAAAGTTGCAGGTTGAGTCTAGTGAAAGTTGAGTTTAGTGAAAGTTGAGTTTAGTAGTTAATGTTATAGCCTTGAAATACGATTTCTCACTTTTCGATTTTTTTCAGTTTCCAACCAGCGTTAATTTTGAGGAAATATATTTCCCTCTATTTCACCTCCGAGGAAAATACCCAAGTATAATCAACAATGAATTTTTTTTTGTCAGTCAGTTTATATAATCGTTACACAACATTAAATGTAAAGTTGTTAGAACATGCGTGGTCATATATATTTATTGCAACAATGAACAGTAATATTCAGGGCCGAAACTAGAACGATAATTGGGGGGGTGTTTATTCATATATTCAGTTCTGCCCGACGGATTTCCATTGTGAGCTTTTGCACTTACAAAATAAATCCGCAGGGCAGAACTGAATATATGAATAAACAACCCCCCAATTATCGTTCTAGTTTCGGCCCTGGTAATATTTCATCTGCTCTACGACTCTGAGATGAGTTACAATTTTTTCTGAATCTCTGATTCTAGATACATCTCCGGAAGTTGGATCGGCAGCCATTCTGGGTAAGCATGCATACATGAGCATGCACACATATTGTCAATTTATTTTTTCCTTTACTATGTCATAGTTGTCAAACAAACTTGCAAGGATATATGCTAACAAACTTTTACCAACTTTTTTCCCGACTTTTTTATAAACTTGTGCGTTTTGCCTTTGCGTGATAACTTTGGATTCGCATTTGCAGCATTATAGGTGTAAATATACAAGCGCCATTACGCTGGCTGAGGGGCAACTTGTGTCTATTTTCACTACGCACCTCATGACGCTATTTTAACACGCGAGTGGCCTAACCTGCTAAGCTGAGCTGTGCTTTTCCCACACAGATTGTCTTTACTTAAACGGAAGCAGTTACCATGGCAACATATCTGTGACAGCCTCGGATATTTATGTCAGTCATGGACAGAACAATGTCCACATCGTCATACCATGAACACCACATATCCAGAATTAAATAACGCCAAGAATTACTGCCGCAATCCCAAGAACTCGGGAAAAAGACCTTGGTGTTTTACTACAGATAGAAACAAAAGATGGGAGTACTGTGATATCCCTAAGTGTTCACCAGGTACTCGTTTTCAATACACATGAGGGGAGCCCTGATGATGATCAATTGAGATCAACTATGTTGAGATCAACTATGTTGAGATCAACTATATTGAGATCAACTATGTTGAGATCAATTTTTCTTAAAGCATGTTAGCTAACTAAAATACGTGAATATCTGCCCCCAATTATCGTTCTTGCGCGCCCATGTGCCGGGCGGAAATCTATATGTTGTAATTTCTGTTTACCCCTTTACTGCATGGTCATGCTTAATACGCAACAATAATTAGTGCGAGGAAGAGATGCATGTCTGGAGGAGGTTGATCTACGGCTTGAAATACGGAAGAAGTACAGAAGTTTGCATCGCAATGCCTTACTAACAATTGAAGTATGAAAAGTTGTTTGTTTTATTTAGTTCACGGTAATTATGGCAATTGGTCATTAAAAGAAAAGTGTAATGTGAGTTGCGGCGAAGGTTTTGAAACATGGCGCGAGATTGTAAAAATCCTGAGCCAAAGTTTGGTGGAAGAAACTGTAGTAAAATCGGAGAACCAGTTGAATACAGACCGTGTAGGGCAAAACCCTGTCCAGGTAAGGAAATTACCTAGCATGCATGCAAAAAATGAGCCGCTGACATTGTTGCCAAGTGCTGTAACGCCCTGGAAATTATCTTGTTGTTTTAACATAGCTGAAACTGGACAGCTTAAGCGTAAGCAGAATTTCATTGGTTGCAATTACAACTGCAAATGAGTAGGTTGTGCCCCGGAAAATTTATAAGCTTTCGAAGTTAATAAAAGATGAAGCACTTGAAATCAACACGTGCAGAAGGTAGTTAAGACTTATGAAAATTACAGTACAGTCCAGAAATAACCTAACACTGTGCATAGTTGCGGATCGCTTTCGAACGGAATGTTATGAACAGAACGACAACACAATAATCATATCGAAAGCATCAGTCTTAAGAAATGTCTGTCAGACCGAGTTAGGCCGACGTTAAACCTCCGTCTCACCGCGGTTCGACCTTGGTCTGACCGATTTCAACCGCGATCACCGAGGTTTGACCTAGGTTAACCGCGATTTTTTGATATTTCTGTAATTATAGCGTATAGTAGAATAAATTTTACTTATCTAAAGATGACTTTTAAGTGCTTTCGATTCGTCCCAGCGTAAAGTTCGTTTTAAATACGAACCAAAGACCATATGCATTTATACAGCAACAACAAAGAAAATGACGGGAAAATTTTTCAAACATGTTATGACACTCATAAATGTTCACGTTATTCACTGAATTTTATATTGTGGGTAATTCTAGTCAACAGCGGTTATGGCAACTGGAGTGTCATTATTCCTTGCAATGTTTCGTGCGGTGAAGGAGTTGAAATATGGCAACGTAATTGTGATAATCAAGAACCAAATTACAGCGGCAGTAACTGCAGTGGGCAGGGAAACTCGATTGAAATAAGGAAATGCAAAAGAAAAACTTGTCACAGTAAGAATTAAACCAACTATACGTGCTGAAGAGTAACTACATGATATTGTTTTTTGCTCTCTGTGTTTCTGGCAATGAAATATTGAATTCGTTTACAATTTTCAGCTCTATCAATCAAAACCAAAAATGGTTCCACTTTAGACCGCCAGTGCATGGAGGCCACTAATTTATGTTAATCATGTGCCAACAGAACTGGAGTAGCTTCTTTACAAAATACTTCAATTTTTAGCTGCATTACAACCCGGGAGGAAGTGCCTCATTCTAATTTTCATTTTGCAGTTGCTGGTAGTTATGGCAACTGGACAAAGGCGTCTCCCTGTAGTGTCACGTGTGGTCAAGGTGTTGAAATATGGATGCGACTGTGTAATATACCGCCTGGAGCTGATTTCAGAGAGAATTGTAGTAAGCTGGGAGCAGCTTATCGGTTTCAAGTATGTGAGATGAAACATTGCTCAGGTAACCATTGTTTCAGTAAATCGCAAGATTTCTCTGAAGACAAAAATATACTAACAATCTTTTTATAACATGCACAATTTCATGCGTTCCTTCATGAGACACGCACGCCTTGTGGAATGTCTCTAAATATACCTTTTTTGTTACGTATATATCGCCTACAACTTAATTTTTCTGGTTTCTTCTTGACAACTTCACTTGTACATTTTTAGATATTTCCAAAACCCGGACGATTTCTATTATCATTGCTTCTGTTGTTTCTGTGTTTCTCGTCGTAGTTTTTGTTTTGATCGTTCGAAAACAAAAACCCAAAGAAGGTGAAATACTGATTTAATTTACTGATTCATACTGATTTAATTTACTGATTCATTCTGAACAACAACCCAGCACATTGTCGTTTCAACTGGAATGTTAATATAATAGTGCATGCATAAACTGATCGCCTTGAATTGGCTATAAGCACATTGTTCAATTATCGATTCAAATGGCGTCGCCAGAAAGAAAACCAGGGGACGTGCCTCTAAGTTTTATTTTAACCTGAGATGATCTTCACTCCGCTGAAAAAGAATGAAGTTTACGAACAGTAACGTCTAGAGCGTGGGAGAATGGGTTAGCTACCCGGGACCTGAGACCAGGGGCCAAGCAAAAACTGGGCTAATGTTATGTGCAGTAAAATAGTGTTACGAAAACACATTAACAAGCTAATATCTAAGTGTCCAAAATACTAAGGAATAATGTATATAATGTAGGAGCTAAAAATTTAATTATAGTCACAGACTGCATATCTAACATGGGTTCACTACATTATTTACCCTCGTTTTTCATTCAACGCTCATCCTATCATGCATTTTCAGTTTCTACCCTTTAAGATAATGGCCCGCATGTAGAGCATACAGTTCCAATAGAATAAAACTCCGATGTGCCCCGAACCAAAATCCGCTAAACTTAATATTATACAAAGTAAATTGTGTTCTCTCACTTTGTATTCGATTTTACTATTTCCTGCAGTTAGGGTCATTTTTATGTCGCTGCATATTTTGCTACAGACAATTAAGAAGAAGACATTACATCATTGTTTTGTCCCCGCCCTACATTCCGAGGTCTAGCGACGCCACTGTTCCAATCACCAAGCAGGTTGTAAACAATCAGAGAGTTAATAATCATGGTATAATTATAGCAGAAATTTTCATTCTTATAGACTCTTCACATTCAGCAACTCCGGAAAACTGTCCTCCAGAGTACGGTAATCTTACACCTGATGGAAATCCGATTCCACATTATTCACGTGGTGTTGTGCTGTGGAGAAGAGATTATGTCAACACACATTCTTCGCAGAGCTCTTGGTATGACAGACTCCAGCTTTTTCCACCATTGGCTGTTGAATGGCTTCGAAACGCGTGGGGAAATGTTGATGAGTCTGGCAACCATGTATATGACGTCCTGGGACGTCATGTCAGAAATGTCTTCGTTCCTTACGACGATTTGTGTTTCAAAACAAATACGGTGCAAGAGGGAAATGGGACAGAACTTTACGACACTCCAGAAAGATCCTCAGCAGTCATATTACCCACAGAAATTGCTAACTATCCCACGACCCAGATTGCTTAATAATTAACATCTGTCTCTCTTCCCTAGAAGTCGTCTAGTTTTTTTTTTATCGAAGAACTCTCTCTTTACAGCGTTAGTAGTTTGGTATTCATTTTTGCATTTTCCCTAAGCTTGGGAAAATTTCCAGAATTCATTTCTCATGCAGCACATCTTCAGCAACATTACCAAGCAAATTCAATGAGATTTTATTATCGTACTTCGGGTCTATTTTATGTTAAAATAAGGTTATTCATGCATCGCAACATCGCGACATGCACAGCTGGATAGAGCATCCGAAAATTAGTAAAATCAAAAACCTTTAGCAATGAAACTTTAGAAACCTGCAAGTTTTGTATAAGTTATCGTAATAGTAAGGAAATAGAGCAAACGATCCTTACATGAGGAGAAAACGCCTCACCGATATTACGAATAACGCGTTACTGGAAAGTAATTTTGCGAAAAATAATTGGCTGATAATTCTATAACTTATTGCTGCGGAGCGAGCGAGCCTGAAGCGAGCGAGCGTAGCAGCAGTCTAATTTGTGCAGAGAGGGGGTTCTGAACTAAATTTTATTTAGCGCAAGGAATTGTGGTCGTGCGCGTTTTTTATGCGTAGAAGACAAATTTTAAACTCGCTCATATCCATGTGCTTTTTGATTTCGATGGACAGGATCTTCAAATTTTTGTTAAACTTTAAAGCTTCTGTTCTATTTGACTATTCAAGGTAAGATATTTTCATCTTTTGTTCATATGTTACGTTTACAGTTGTTTACAATTTTAACTTGTATATTTATGAAACGCCAAAAGCATACACTCGATCACAGCTAGATTCATGCTGTTTATATACGCACTATATAAATTCTTCTAGAATATTAGGGTGTACTATATCCAATTTTCTAATTCGTGGTTTCTGATTACACGTCTTCTCGAGCGCGTTCAAAGTTCAAAGTATTAAGTGATGTTTTGTTACTCTTCACATGAAGCCAAACATTTACATGGACACAACAAAGACAAATAGCATATTTAAAAAACAAATATCCATGTTACCAAAAAATGTTCTATTTTGTTAAACATGTGCTACTGGGCCTGTATTTTCGCTTTGTTGCGGGGAAAATGTCGCTACGCGCGCAAAATTCTACTTAATATTACTATTATTGTTAATACTCCTGTTGTGATTCGTATGTTAAAATATTTTTAAAACTAGCTGCTTCTAAAGACTTTGATTAAACGAGCTGCAACTCGCAAGACAGCATTGATATAGCATATATTGACCTAAATATTGACGTCATTGACAGTGTTCTCGCTAATAGGTGTTAATTCATCAACAGCCCCAGCGAGTTAACGCTCAATAGAGGCTCGCTTCAAAATTCACCGTCTCTGAAGTGATAGTCACTGGTCAGTGAGTGCAGATTTTTTATATAATTTTTTCAAATTAAAAATTGAAGCAATTATGAATTTTTTTGAAATTGTGTTTTTTATTATTTGTAAACACCTCGAAATTTATACTAAAACATGTATCCGCCTCAGGTTCGGTGAAATCCATTCATTGTTTTGAATCGTCTTGGGAATTGAGATTTTTTTAATTTATCTGAAATAAGCTGTAATTTATAGAATTATTTTAATATCTTTGTAATTTATTATTCATGATAATTTATTAACCGTAAAGCATGAATTATTCGTGTTTGCATTTGATCCAAAACAATGCAAGCGTCGTGTCACTTCTCCTCAACTGAAACCTGATCAGCGTTGGGAATTTATGGCAGTCTCAATTTAAGAAATAATAAGTTTATTTCTTAATTTACAAGCCTATTTGACGTTTAGTTTAGCCTCTGATGTTTGAGGAGATTTGATATTTATACTGAAGTAGCCTCGCTGACATACGTCATCCAAATGAAAATGAAAAACATCCGCCGGAAATCAGAGCAAACATTTGCCGTAGAAACGCTTACAGCGGTTGAAAAGTAATTCTACAGCAGTTTATACGCATATCCAACTTTGGCTAATACGATTTGTACTTGCCGAGAGTTTGTGTAAAATAATTTATTAGCCTGGCTACATCGCTGAAAATATAACTTTGGATCTGTTTACATGGAGCCGAGTTACCCGGCTAACCGAGTTACTCGACTTGCCGGGAGAAAACGTTACGGAGTTTTACTTTATTGTGTTATATAGTGTTACACTTAAAATACACACACTGTCTAGACATTGACAGTATAATAGTATGAACAAAGCTTATGTTCTAAACATGCAAATTTAGGGCGATTTTTACACCAGAGGGTTTGCATTAATTGACAGTACTGTAATTGTACAAAAGACCAATTGTGCAAAAATGAATATTGTGATGAACTATAAAGTTGCTCTGAGTCACTCACCAGGAAAGCTAAAAAAATTAGCTTGACAACAATGGGAATCGAACACGCGAAATTTTTTTTGCCAGTCCAATGCTCTTCCAACTGAGCTACTATTAATATTGCGTAAGACTCAGGTATATGAAATGGATATATTCATTCGCATAACCACTGCACAGAACGGACTAAAGGTAATGTTACACGGAACAATTTTCAACATCATCTCGCAACGCAATAATGTTGCGAAGAAATTAGCACATGTCAAACGAGGAAAATTTTCATGCAACATTGTTGCCTTAAAAATGACGATCTCAGGCTCTTCCACATTGCGAATAGTTCGGTCGCTGTATACTTGTACTCAAATGTTTCAACTAAACGAGTTGTAGCTTCCTCTTTTTCTTTTTTCCCATCTTTCCCAGGCTTGTTATCCCATAATGTGGGATTATTATTAAAAAACATTATTAAACGTAATTTATCACTATCGAAAAGCCCGCCAGCAGCAGATTTCTGAGGTGAAACATGATCGCAAATATTTGTTGTATCTTGACTCTCTTCGCTTTCCGCCATTTTGTTTATATTTCCCGCCACTTTCAAAGCTCAAACAAAGGTCTCTGGGTAAATTAAACAAAATTCCGAGCAACAATGTTGCATGGATTTGACGTCCGTTCATAAACTTTCAACATTGTTCCGCAACAATTTTGCTGTTGAAAATTGTCCACAAGCACCATGTTACACGCGTCAATTTTTCTCGCAACATTATTGCGTTGCGAGATGATGTTGAAAATTGTTCCGTGTAACATTACCTTAAATTACTTTGCAACATGGTGGACATATCGACATGCAGCTGTGTATAAACACAAGTACATGCAGGCAGGAATATCTCCGCATTCCGCATCTTATTATTTATTCGTGGAATGCGGAAACTTTGCTTTATGAAATGTGATATGAAAATATAATAATCCGAGTTATACCCAGCAACAGGCAATTTTAAAGCTATTGAAAAAAAACTATCCAGTGAATAGCGCTAACCGGCTTTCATACAACCGGCCCAAGTTGCGTAACAACGAAAAGATCCTGTCGTCCAGATTTGACAGGACGTGACATATGATATGTTATCATGGAGTAACACTACACTTGCCAACTAGAACCGCATCAGCAAACCAAGAGAAACTGATCGCAGTTTAAATTTATGTAATTCACGAGCCTATCTGACATTTCACTTGCATGGGAATTTGCTTTAAAAACTTTGCAGATTACAGTCTTCGCCCCTGTAGTTCGAAGAGATTGAATATTTGCACATGGAAGTAGCCTCGCCGACTTGTGTCAACTATAATAATCTTTATCAAATATACGTCATTCAAGTGTAAATAAAAAAATCCCCACCCGGAAATCATGCCCAATTATAGAGAGAAAACTATTGCGGTAGACGCATACAACGGTCGAAAAGTAAGCCTACAACATATTGTATACGTAGACCCAACTTGGCTGAAAAGGGTTGTACTCGTGGACTTGTTGTGAAGTTTATTTGCCTGGCTATATCGGTGAAGATAAATAAACTGATAAACGGGAACTAAATGGTTTTGATGTACGCCATGCGCCGTTGTATTGATGGCAGTTGTACTGTACTGATTCTTGCAACGATCTTCAATTCAAGCATTGCAGGTAACACTTCAAATTTTGAACCATTCAAATGTTTGCATCTCTCTAACAAGCGGGCATAATTTGGATTGAGTTTCATTAGTTCAGGCTTATTGACTTTCGACATTTCAATATCAAGCTCAAATTTCTGATCTAATGATTTTATGCGGGCTGCATAAACTTCTACTCTAATGGTGGTAGATCCTAACATCATTTCAATTCGTTTTATTTTAACAGCCTGAGGCATGACTGCTTCCAGCTGCAGTATCGAGCAGTGCGTGTGTTATAATCCCATCCACGTCCACTAGCACTATTGGATAGATAATTCAATTATCCCCCCCAGCATGAGCTGTCTTCTTTATCTCATGACCATCTGATTTGGTTACACCACAATCTTCTTCCAATCATCTGGTTTCTGCATGTGCTTCACTGACAGGATTCCTTCGAGTCCAAAGTCCCTATGCTTCAATGAGTTGAACATAGGTCCAGTTTTCCCAACCAGAATCACCTCGTACTAGGTCATCCCGTATGTTTGGTAGTTTATCCAATGCCATGGCAACAGTTCCATTCACAGCGTCCAACTTTTTCATAGTCTCAAGTGAATGTAAACAATATGGTAACTTCTTATAGAATTCATACATCCCTTCAGGACTTGATGTTGCTGTACGTGGAAGCTCAAGGATCTCTTTTACATACGTTTTTACTATCTCGCTTTCCTTGTCAAGTCTATCCTTGAGAATTGAAACCACTCTGTTGTAGCCCTCCACGTTAAATGGAAGAGACTCGATCGCACGTTTGAATTTGTCGCATAAGAACTCCCTTAAATAAGTGAGTTTTGCAACAGGGGATATATTAGTTTTGTCAATTCTATCCGAAAACTGCCCCCCAAATCTCTGCCAGTCTCTATACGATCAATTAAATACTGTGATTGTCAGTTTCCGCAGTTTTGCATTTTTGGGGTAGAAATCTCATCTGACGTCTGTTCTTTGACGGTTCGTCAATCTGCTGATCTTGTAATTTCATCTTGCCATCGTGAAGTTCAATTTCAAAATCCATTTTCTTTTTGTGATCGCTATATTCTCGTTTCTCTCGCGTTTCATTCAACCACTGTTCCAAAATACTTATTTTCTCATCGCCCTCGTTAAGCTCTCTTTCAATTTCCTCGATCCATGCATCAATCTCGTCGCTTCCTTGTTTGGCTGTAATTTTCTCTGCCTCGATTTTTCGTACTAGCTTGTTGGCTTCGTTTACTATCTCTCTCAATGTCTCGACATGTCTCTTAATCGCAAGCTCTTTCGCCGCCATTAATATTTTTCCATTTTGTCGAATTTGTCCCGAGCTCCTCTGAGTTCTACAAGTTTCGTTGCTAATTCAATGTTTGAATGACATGTCATTATCAATATAGAGATCTGTGGCTCCTGCGCGCTCGCACATCTCAGCCACAGATCTCTATATTACGCTGAATGCAGCCTTTATGTTTTCCAATAAAGCGCCTGGGTACGAGGCTGATGACATGTTGCTTTATATCCTTGTTGTATTCGTGACATAAATCTCCATTACTCCCGTCGTCTGATGTGCCAGGTGTCCTGAATTCCCGCCTTCCAGGATTTATTCACGGCATCATCACAAATAACTTAGTTTTCT